TGGACATGGCGGCCGAGCTGCTGTTCCTGCACGGCATCGAGCCCTCCATCTTCCACGATGCCTCCTACCCCAGCAGCCCCTGCAGCACCAGCCAGGAGCTCCCGGAGGCCAAGCTGCCCCGCCTGTCCACCTTCCTCAGGGAAAACGCGAGTGAGGACGACACCTTGCTCGATAATCACTTGAACGAAGCTAAAGTCCCAAACGGAAGTGGCTCCGCTCCCAGGGACGTCCCGGGCGGCCACCCCAGGGCGGACGGGAGGCCCTCGGCCGCAGCGGGCTCCGTGCGGCGGCGCAGGCACCTGTTCCGGCGGCAGGCCTCCAGCACCTTCTCCTACTACGGCAAGCTCGGCTCCCACTGCTACCGCTACCGCCGCGCCAACGCCGTGGTGCTCATCAAGCCGTCCCGCAGCATGAGCGACCTCTACGACCTGCAGAAGCGGCAGCGGCAGCGGTGCCGGCACCGCAACCAGAGCGGGGCCACCAACTCCAGCGGGGACACGGAGAGCGAGGAGGGCGAGGGCGAGACCACCGTGCGCCTGCTCTGGCTGTCCATGCTGAAGATGCCGCCCGAGCTGACGCGCCTGTGCCTGTGCCACCTCCTCACCTGGTTCTCCGTCATCGCCGAGGCCGTGTTCTACACCGACTTCATGGGCCAGGTCATCTTCCAGGGCGACCCCAAGGTGAGCGCCCGGGCACCCGGCCCCGGCCCACCTTTGCCGCCGCCTGGTGCACTCGAGTCTGGAAGACGCCGTCCGCCCCGTGGGTGGACACAGTGCCCTAGCTGGGACGGGCTTTGTAGCGCGTGGTCCCGAGCGCCGAGCGCTGTCACAGACAAGAACACTTGGGAGCATCCTGCTGCCGCTGCACTGCGTGTGCCCCTGCCCAACTGGCGGCTCGGACGGCGACCCGTTTATTACTTGTGCAGGGCTCAGCGGGCGGCCCTCCTTGTGTTGCTGCACCTGCCCCTGCCCCGGAGCGCCGACATGGCCGTGGCACACTCTCAGGGCTCGTGTCCACGTGGCCGCTCCCCTTCCAGTCCACGCTGCTCTGGGTGGTGACTCCAGGCGGACGGAGGCACAGCTCCGGGGAGTCACTTCCATCAGGCCAGGCCAGCCCCTGGAGAGCGCAGACCTCTCCTCACTGGGGTGGCAGAGGCACGGCAGAGACACATCACAGACCATCCGTGGGTGGGAGGGAGTGAAACCCCACCAGGGACTGGCCTGGGCTCGGGCCGAGCTCCCCCAGAGCCCCTGTCCCTCCCCTGCAGTCACCCACGCAGCCCAGTTGATGCGTGAAGTCTGGCACGTGCCTCCTGACCCCTCTCCTCTCAACAGGCGCCATCCAATTCCACCGCCTGGCACGCCTACAACGCCGGGGTGAAGATGGGCTGCTGGGGCCTGGTCGTCTACGCAGCCACTGGTGCCATCTGCTCAGGTGAGCCCGGCAGGCACTTCCCAGGGCAGCTCAGCAGCCGGAAATGCGGGCCACTCAGCCCCTCAGCCCTGACTGCTGCTGAACAGGTCCGTCTCTCTGGGAGACACGCCCGCAGTGGTGTCGCAGGAAACAGGCCCGCGTGTGCTTGTTTCCGAGGCCCGTCGGGCTGACCAGGGACACTACCCAGTGTCGATGGGGTGTGTGGGCCCCTACCTACCCTGCCAGCTGGATGCAGGCCCGGCCCTGGGGGACACAGTAGCAGTCAGCAGCGGGCCAGGGGCTATCTGGCCTGCTATGCGTGAGAGACCTGTCCCCGCAGGTAGGTTCCATCCTGCTGGTGGGGGTCGGGGCAGCAGCCCCCAGTCTTGGGTGCCGTGTGCTCGTGCTCCCCTGGGGCAGGCATGATCGTGGTGGGGACTCCTGGCCGAGGCCGGCCGGGGCTCGCCTGCCACCCTCTGTCTGAGCACAGACGGGGAGCCCAGCCGCACCACAGCTGAGCTGGGCTCGAGGCTGACAGCAGGAAATGCCGTGTGTCAGCCAGAGGCCAAGTGACAGTGACATGTCACGGTCACCACTTATTAGTGGAGTTCTCGGGGAAGAGCTGGAGGTTAGGGAGAGCCGCCAGGTCAAGGAGGGAGGGCAGGAGGCCACCAAAGTGCCCAGGAGAGACAGCGGTACATTCCTGTGCAGGTGCCGGTGCTGCCCCTTCGGAATGCAGCGGTCCTGGTGTAGCCGCAGGAGCCGCCAATGGCTGGCCTAAGGCCCGGTGGGCCGGGAAGGGCCGGGGTGTGGGGCCAACCTCTTACTGAGGCACAGACCCCAGGCCTGCGTGGACCTGTGAGATGCAGTGTCCACGATCACATGCCGGCTGTGCAGTGGCGAGCTGCGCCCAGGGAAGGGGATGTTTGCAGCTAGGCAGTCAGGGTGCAGACGTGGCGGGGGAGCGTGGGGTGTGGCGTTGAGCCCAGTGTGAGCGAACGTGTGTCCCTGTCCCATGGCCTCTCTGCAGCCCTGCTACAGAAGTACCTGGACAACTACGAGCTGAGCGTCAGGGCCATCTACGTGCTGGGCACCCTGGGCTTCTCCGTGGGCACAGCTGTGATGGCCATGTTCCCCAACGCCTACGTCGCCATGGTCACCATCAGCACCATGGGCATTGTCTCCATGAGCATCTCCTACTGCCCCTACGCCCTGCTGGGGCACTACCACGACATCAAGCAGGTGCGTCTGGCCCAGGCGCTGTGGCAGGGTGGGCGGCACACGGCCTACAGACCCGTGTTCAGCCCCAGCACCAGGCAAGGTCCGTCTGGCCCGGGGCCCGTGCTCCTCTCCCTGTGCAGAGCTCTGCCCACCCGTGGGCATTCGGGACACTGGTGTCCCCAGGTCAGAAACAGCCCTGATGAAACCAGCAGTCACCTGCCTGCTCAGCCCTGCCTGCACAGGTCTTCGGCACCTCAGCAGCTGCCTGCCCTGCGGGCCCAGCAGCTGCTTCGAGGCTTTGGGAAGCAGGGGCACTTGTGGGTCCTGGCTAGGGAAGCTGTGGGCCAGCACCGTCCAGTCACGGCGGTGCAGACCACCCAGGTAAGTGCAGAGCCCCTGGCAGCCTCATCGAGGTGAGAAGTCCAGCCCCGTGGCTGTGATGGCGTCCCCGCCAACCTCATCTCCAGAACATCTCCATCCTAGCACTTAGACGGGGAGAGCTCACACTGGGGCACGTCCCGTGCCAGTGCGCAGGTGGGCCGTGGTGCTCAGCCTCACCCGGACCCTCTGAAGGGTCCTCCACCACGCATACCCTTTTCTCTCCTGCATGCTTTACTAAAGGAGAATAAACAGGTGCTTTTTAAAAATTCTGCTTACCAGAGGGAGACAGAAAGCGGGAGACAAAGTGAGAAAGCACCCTCCAGGGGACAGCACAGTGCAGCCCCTCCTCCATGTCTGTGCAAGATCATGCCGGGTCTGGGACTCACGCACGTTCGTCCCTGTGGGCTGCAGCCGCATCAACCGTGGCATGCCCGCCAGCCCCAAGATCTTTTTAAATGAAGTTACACATAACCACCAAGTCACCAGCAAGCCGCTGCTTGGGGAAGGAGGGACACGGGCGGAGCCCAGCAGCCCCTGCACCTCCCAGCCTCCTCATGGTGCTGTCGTAGGTCTGTGTGTGTGCTCGGTCGGCCCAAAGGCTGCGGGGTGTGGTCGCAGGTCTGTGTCTGAGCAAGCCGTGCTGGCCGTGATGTGCCCACATGCTTTGGTGACGGCATCTCGTGTATGTTGCTATCCTTCCATCTGTCCTTCTTTGACGGAACGTTGGCGACTTCCAGCTCGGGCTGTCACAGAACACGCCTGTCTGTACCTTTGCTGTTCCGGTGCTCTGCACTGTGAGCCACGTGGAGTAGATGTCGCGTGTCCGTGTGTGGTTCGAGCGGACACAGCTTGGCCCCTGGGCATTGCTCCCACGTAGGCCCAGGTGCTGCCTGAGTTTGGTCGTTCTTTGTGCTAGCTCTCATCACCACTAGTGTCCTTGGGACTCTCTGCATACGTGACCACGTCACGCGTGTCCAACGAGTTTGATTTCTTCTTTCCGAGTCCTGATATCTATGCATTGTCCCTGCCGTGACCAGAACCTCCAGGACGGTGGAGTGGGCATAGTGAGCTTGCTCTTTCAAAATCTACAGCAAAATAGTTCTTATCTTACTGCAAAGGTGGGTGCTTGAAGTTGTGTTTTTCTGGGAATTTGTCCCGACAGTTTTATTGGCATTAAATTGTTAGTAGCATTCTCCTGTGATCTAATACGGTAGAAACTGTAGCGATGACTCCCTCCCCAGGTCTCATATTGGTTATTCGGGAGCTTATCACCTTGGTGGTGGGTTTTTTTGGGGTTTCTTGTGTTTTTTTTAACTTTATTTACTTATTTATTTGACTAGAGAGGGACAGAGTGAGAGACAGAGAGAGCAAAAAAGGAAAGTGAGAAAGCAAGCCACCAGGTCCGGGACTCAAACTGGGGTCGGCCATGTGGGAGTCCAGCATTGGTGACGGCATCTCGTGTATGTTGCTATCCTTCCATCTGTCCTTCTTTGACGGAACGTTGGCGACTTCCAGCTCGGGCTGTCACAGAACACGCCTGTCTGTACCTTTGCTGTTCCGGTGCTCTGCACTGTGAGCCACGTGGAGTAGATGTCGCGTGTCCGTGTGTGGTTCGAGCGGACACAGCTTGGCCCCTGGGCATTGCTCCCACGTAGGCCCAGGTGCTGCCTGAGTTTGGTCGTTCTTTGTGCTAGCTCTCATCACCACTAGTGTCCTTGGGACTCTCTGCATACGTGACCACGTCACGCGTGTCCAACGAGTTTGATTTCTTCTTTCCGAGTCCTGATATCTATGCATTGTCCCTGCCGTGACCAGAACCTCCAGGACGGTGGAGTGGGCATAGTGAGCTTGCTCTTTCAAAATCTACAGCAAAATAGTTCTTATCTTACTGCAAAGGTGGGTGCTTGAAGTTGTGTTTTTCTGGGAATTTGTCCCGACAGTTTTATTGGCATTAAATTGTTAGTAGCATTCTCCTGTGATCTAATACGGTAGAAACTGTAGCGATGACTCCCTCCCCAGGTCTCATATTGGTTATTCGGGAGCTTATCACCTTGGTGGTGGGTTTTTTTGGGGTTTCTTGTGTTTTTTTTAACTTTATTTACTTATTTATTTGACTAGAGAGGGACAGAGTGAGAGACAGAGAGAGCAAAAAAGGAAAGTGAGAAAGCAAGCCACCAGGTCCGGGACTCAAACTGGGGTCGGCCATGTGGGAGTCCAGCACTCCTAACCACCACGCCATCTGCCGGCCACACTTTTGTGTCTTCAAAGAACTTCTGGTACTCACAATCCCCTCTGCTACATATTTGTGTCGCATTCTAGTAATTGCTGTTCTTTGCTAGAAGACTTCAAAAAGTTTGTGGGAAATGGAAGGAAAAGTACAGATTTATTGGAGGTAGGTCACTGGACTTGCAGCAGGAGTCATCCCAGTGGGCCGACCGCAGTTTGAGACCATCCCGGCAGCCATGTGTGCGTGTCTGCCCAAACCCCAGGGAGAGGACGGAGGAGCGGGACTGCGGCGTGGCCATCCTCCCGGGGAGCCCCCACGCTCTCTCACTGTCTCTCCAGTGAGTGCTCGTGCACTATGGCAAGAACCTTTAAAAAAAGTACAAATTTCTTTTGGGGCAAAAAGCTTTGAAATCCACGTATTTTTTTCGTAACCCCCATTTCCCACGTGGTTTTGGAAGAGCACACACATCTGCCGTCTGCTGTTTCTCCATCTAAGTCGCCGTTTCCTAGTTCCGGAGTTTGGTTCGGCCTGACCCTGGCGTTCCAGGCTACTAGTTCCCTTGGAAGTTGAAACGCTCAGCCGCTTCAGGAGTGTCTCTAGCTTGCGTCGTGAGTCCTGTTCTGAGCCAGGAGTTAGGTAGAGGTTCCCTGACGAGTTTCTAGCTAGTGGGGTTCTCCAGCTGCCATGTCGTTCGTGACTCCTAGTGTGATTCGCAGTGGCCAGAGAACACGCTCTGTGGGACTCGAGCCCTAGGTTCACGGAGACTTTCTCTGTGGCCGCCATGTCACAGATCTACAACCGTCCTTGTACAGGACGTGCTCTGCACCGCACAGCAGGTACACTGGGTCGTCGTTTAAGTCCTCCGTTCTCTTACTGTTGCTTGTTTAGAAAAGGCGTGTTGACATCTCCCACGTGTCTGTGCCACCCACAAGGACGTGAGTACGCACAGAGAATCGGTTTGTCTCTCGTCTTCCCGGTGGTTCGGCCCTTCTCCGCCTCTTGCGAGTCCTGGCTCTGGTCCCTGTGGTGGGCTCCGCCGGGTTTCCTCTGCACCTTCGCCCAGTCCGTGCGGCGAGGCTGCCCATGCACTGCCCGCGGCCCTGTGCAGCTGTGCTGCTGGAAGCCCTGACAGGAGCTCACGGCACCCGTGCCCCTAGCCCACTGGGAGGGCAACACGGGCTGAGCCCGGCCATGCCACCTTCCTGGAGGTGGTGCCCACGCCTGGGCGCTTGTGTCCTGCTGGGGCGGCGAAGTGCCTTCCACTTCCGTCTTCTGCCGTGAGCTAGAGCCGTCTGTCCCTGCCGTCGGCGTCATGCTGACCAGGAGGCGGGGGTCTGGGAGACGGGCGTCTGGGAGGCGGGCAGGAGCAGTCAGGAAGCGCGGTGCGCAGTCCTGAGCTCGCGGCCACCCCGCTGCGGCGCTCACGCTGCCTCTCTTCTCTTGCAGTACGTCCACCACAGTCCCGGGAACTCCAAGCGCGGCTTCGGCATAGACTGCGCCATCCTGTCCTGCCAGGTCTACATCTCCCAGATTCTGGTGGCATCCGCCCTCGGGGGCGTGGTCGACGCAGTGGGGACTGTTCGTGTCATCCCCATGGTGGCCTCCGTGGGCTCTTTCCTGGGCTTCCTGACGGCCACGTTCCTGGTGATCTATCCTGAGGCCTCAGAGGAGGCGAAGGAGGAGCAGAAAGGCCTGTCCCCACAGCCCTGCGGCAAAGGTGGGGACGATGGCGGCGGGGGGCCCAGTGAGAAGCCCACCGTGCTGAAGCTGTCCCGGAAGGAGGGCCTGCAGGTGGAGGCGGAGTCCGTGGTCTGAGCCGCACCCCCGTTTACACACACTCCACGCGGTGGGCACAGGCCCGGGCCACCCCTTGCAGGAGAGGCGCTGGCGCTGGCGTGGTTGCTGACGCGGAGTTCCTTCGTGCCGTTGCCAGCCGGAGGGCCAAGCAGGAACGCCAGACAGACGCACCGCACTGATGGCCTTTTCCCAATTAAAGAAAATCATTTGAAATCTTTTTTTAATTGAAAAAGGTCTTTTAATTTCAACTCTGTCTTTTATTCTGCAGGTATATTCTTCTGCATGTTTTTAAATTGCAAAACCCTTACTATGTAGACAATAAGCAGTTCGAAAGAAACGAGGCTTTGCATTTCTGAAACTAGTGAGAGCGGTGCCTCGGCGCCCTCTGCCCTCATCGGAGCACGGAGACGGGCCATGGCCGGCCTCTGCTCTGCGCACGCCCGCGGGGACGCCATGGCGTCAGGCCTCGTCTCGCCTTGGGCGCCATGGCAGTTGGAGAGGGTTTTTCTTTATGATCATTTTAGGAAACATTTTTTTTCTTATAACTGGTTTTCTTGGGAGAACGGCAGCTCTGCTTTTCCTCAGGAGAGCTTGATGGACTGTGCCCAGGGCGGCCTGGTCCTGGTGGCCAGTGGGAATGGCCAGAAACCAAAGCTGGGAGGACAGCCCTGGGGCGGCTGCGTGTGTGCGCTGCGGAGTCCAGGGCCGCAACACCCACGGGGCCGGGAGCGGGACTCTCACTCTGCGCCCACATGTGTATGTGTGTAAGCATGTCTGTGTCCAGACCCCGATCCACCCCACCTGTCAGAAGGGCCCTCCCAGGGGGCCCTGGGCTCCTCCAGACCACCTCTCTTGTCCCGGGAGGAAGTCCTTGGCAGGGCACCTGGATTCGCCTCTGGACCGTCAACCGCCTGCTGCAGATGGCCTACCTCCCAAGTCTTGCCGCATGGCTACCTCGGGTGTGCTGGGACCTGCCCAACTCGAACTGCTGACCTGCGCTCCGTGCCGCGCCGGACTGGGACCAGGCACAGAGAAGCTTCTGTCGTCGGGCCGGAGAATGCAGTGCACTGGAGAGCTGGCGCCCAGCGCGGCGGCTGCGTGGGATGTGTGTGCGGTTCCTTCCTCCCGACCGGAGACGGTCGCTGAGACCAGGAGAGGGAGGCCTGCACGAGCAGGACACGGCGCTTACACCCCCACCGCCGCAAGTCGCTGTTTTTAAATAAAGTACTTTAAGGTGCATGAGAACCATGCTGCAATATGACCATTCTAAAGCAAGTATATAGATATATATATATATATATATATTTCAAGATGAAAAGAAGCAGTTTTTAAATAAATTACTTGAATTTTCTGTGTATCCAGAGGAATGCCTGCTTCGTCTACATGACAGCCATGGTGGCACTCGGAGGTGTTCTGAGGGCAGCCAGTCCCTGTCCACGCGGTGTGTGCTCATAGCCAGGAGGGCCGGGCCCGGAGGGCAGGATGCGAGCGTTTCCCGTGTGTGGGAAAGCTGGGGGATGGCCTTGTGGTTGCTGCGTGGGTGAGGACGGTGTGTCTGAACATGCTGCCTGTCGCTGCCACCCTGCCCGGGCCCTGCTGCCCCCTCCCATGGGGAGGTGGGCACCTCTGGCCGCTGTGGGCCGGCAACCTCGGCCAGCTCTCCGTGCAGTTCTCTGCGCTGGAAGTGCTCGGCCCTCCCAGGAGGTGGCGTGTTTGTGGCCAGGACCGTGCGGGTTCCCTGCGTGGTGGCCTCCCCACGCCAGTGAGCCCTCCGCAGCAAGGAGCAGAGAGAGCAGATAGGGGCTGACCCGCACCGAGATGCCCCTGGGTCCTGACAGGAGCCCCACCCTTCCCCCTGGACAGCACAGCCTCATCCAAGGGCCCAGGGGCCAGGCCCGGCACACACCAGCTGGAGCCCTGGCCATCACGTGTGCAGAAGAGCGAGGTGCTAGCCCTCGAGCTCAGCCCGGCCTGGCTGTGAGCGGAGGTGACAGTCCAGGCTGTGTGTGCCCTGCGCAGGCCCAGTTACGGTCGTTGAGAATAGTGGCACTCAGCAAGAGTTAACGCCGTGAGGCCTCAGGTGTCTGCAGCCCGCCGGTCTGGCAGGTGCCTGGGCTGGGGGTGGGACCCAGGGCAGGTGTGCAGTTGGTCCCCGGAGCAGCTGTCCCGGGAGGCAGACCTGGTGACCCAGAAACCCTCTGCCAGAGGCTGGGGCCGAGCAGCGCCCTCTGGCTCAGCATCTCCTCGTGACGAGATGCCTTGACGAAGCACTAGTGGGCGGTGCCGGCGTCCTCCCCTCACCTCTGGGCAGCTGGAGGAAGGCAGGCGTCGGCACAGCGCACCTGCACCAGGAGGGTGTGGGGCTCGCTACACCTGGGCGTGTGCTCCCGGGGCCACAGGCACAGGGCGGGGGCCGCGGCGGGTCGGCTCGCGGCAGCCCACGGTTCATGCGTGGCCTTTTAACCTGAAAGGAGACTGGTAGGTGGTCTGTGTGAGATCGCGTGGTCAGCTTGGGGCCCAGGTCGGCACAGGCCATGGCCGGGGGGTCTCGACATCGAGCCAGGTGTGTGGGCAGCATCTCCATGGTGCCCAGTGCTGCATGCAGGTGGCCCTGGGTGGGGGTCCTGCAGGCATGGACACGTCCCCGAGTGCCTGAAGTGATGTCCTGTCTTCCTTGGCCTAGGGCAGGGGTCTTTGAACCCCCAGCCCTGTTCACTGCCTCTCAGATGCCAACCCTGGGAGGCCTCACAGCCTCTGGGAGGGCTGGGCCTGGGAGCAGCACTGTGTGGGCACAAGCCCTCCCAGTGGGGCCCAGGGAGCAAGCGTCGAGCAGGTGCGCGGCCCACCCTGAGCCCAGGGCCGATCTGTCAGCTGGGGCTGCGGGCTCCTGTCCAGGCCCCGGGCCAGGCAGGCCTTGCTGAGAGTTTCCAGCAGCATCGGCCCGTAGCCTGTGACGCTGACATTACCAACGGGCCCTCGTCTGGCGGGCAGTTTGCACGCAGCCCGCCCGGCTGCCCTCTGTGGCCACAGCAGACACCAACTCCAGAGGAGGCAGGGTACCACTCCCCGCCCCTGCCCTCTCCCAGAGCTGTCCACTTGTGGCCACCAAAGCAGGCGCACGTGTCCCCGTCACTGCTGCCCTCCCACAGCCAGCCGCTGCGTGTGCCCTCCCAGTGCCACTCAGACTCGAGGCCCCCCTGCTCCCGCCGGGCCCTGCAGGCCTGGGTCTGGGAGCTCTTCAGGTGTGGCAGTCGGGCTGTGCCCGGGGCCCCCCGGGGAGAGGATGAGCATGCCAGGGGCCAGCACACGGGTCCCCGTCACCACAGGTGGAGCCCCAGCTTGGAAATGGCCTCTCGGCCAGCCCGTCCTGGGGGCCTGCAGGACAGCTGAGTGCACCCACCTCGCAGCGGCTTCCTCTTCGTTCCCCCAGGCCTCTGGAGTGCAGCAGGCAGCGGCCACGGCCGAGCCTGTCTTGGTGCCAGGGTGACCCGTCGTTGAAACTGCCCCTTGTCCCTGGAGCAACGCCTGGGCACCTCGGACCCGTTGTGCTCCGTTGTGAGCTGGGCCAGGACGTCTTGCAGCCTGTTGAGAAGGAGCGCCACGGCTGCCCGTGTCGACCTTAGCCCTGGTGCAAGGCACGAGTGTTCCCCTCCACGAGGGGCAGGGATCGCACACATGCCTGGTTTGTATCAGGTGGGATAAAGTGGCGGTGTGTCCATCGACTCCGTGGAGCCCTGCTTCCGTCCTTCCTTGTGGGTGAATGTCGCCACCAGCGTGCGTGGGTGCCACCTCCCCTGCACACGCCTCTTGCATAGTGCGCGACTCCCCCCCCATGCGGGCACACCTGTGCCTGTCACTTAGTTTGGCTCAATAAACGTCCCTCCAGGTGACGTGTGGGTGTGTCTGTCACTTCCCTGCAGGCCCTCCCCCCC